AGTTTTCTAACATTCGTAATGTTCATATAGTTTTTTTTAATTAACATGTCGGCAACAAAACCATGAGAGATCGAACTGATCCACATCGCAATGAAGGGAAAAGTAGCATAGAAACCATTGGATTTGATATCCATGTTCAGAACATCGTTATAATATTTGGGCAGATATGTTGACATTATATAAAAGCCCCAATCGTGACCAATTTGGGCAGAAATCAATGAATATATTTTTGAACTTGTGAATATCGCAACCCAAGGTACGGGCGGCAAATCTGTGCGCTCAATATGTGCACCTATTTGTTGAACTAAATATTCACGTTCTGCTGGTTTGATGAACGGATGCGTGACGGGGTCACTGTAGCAAATGAGAGCCTGCAAAGTGACCTATAGATTCGAATATTATTCAATTAGTTTACAGTAAACACATACAAATATTAGACACCACGTTGCCCCAACAATAGCAAATGTGTAAAATACCCACTGCCAGTCGAATGAGTCAAGCAAAAGGCCTGCAAATGCAAATAGCAGCACATTTCCTATTTGGCCGCCGCCCAATATGACAGCACCCAATCTACCACGCTCATGTTTCGGCACCCAATGTGAAACCATCACGCTAAGACTAGGGAATATTACACCTTGTCCTAATCCCTGAGTAACACGCAATATGGTTAAACCTATGTGCTCCGTATAGTATACAGTGACTGGGACGAGAAATGTCGTTGTCACTGACCACATTAATCCACCATTTAAAACCCACTTAAAACCAAACCGATCGCCCATCATTCCGCCGGGAATATGTGCGAGAAGATAACCGAAAAAGAAGAAACTAAGTGTTCTACCTTGTTCTTCTTCGGTCCAGTCATATTCGCCACCTTGCTGCAAAAACAAGTTTCTCCTATAAAATTTTTGAAAAATACAAAATCATTTTGTTAGCTATCACCTGAGTGCGAACAGCATCTTCGACCGGGCATATTATTGTGTCTCCCATTTTTGTTTTATTTCTATACACTACCATCTGAGTTATAGCCATTGAGAGGCATTGGCGCTGCGAATAACCCGTCACAATAGCGAAAAACCCCATAATCGCCACAATGGAACGTTGAGGTATAATAAAAACTAAATTTAAAAATTTAATTCGTAGTTCCGAAGCACAATGGAAATGAACGCGAACGAGTAACTAATACTTACACTTTGAAAAAGCAATACCACGCGGTGTTTGCTCGATGGGCTTCATCTTCTAAATGAAATCTTACGTCCGATCACGTTCAAAAAAAAAATAAATAAATATAAAAATCAAAAATATATTCAGAATTGAAAATTCCTCGAGATCTCGCGTCCGCCGATAAACCGTTTGCAATTGCTTTTATATCCGCCCGGTTTTATTCGAGGCAATTTTTAAATTTTGATCTTGTGTCCTTCCGATTTATTCCAAACGTAATTACATTTGATGATTTTCAATTTTTGCTGACATATGACAAAACAAAACAAAAAAACAAAAAAAACAACAAACAAGTAAGAAAATTAAATTCGGTTGGGACCGAATCTTTTATAGCCATCACCGTTTACCCCAAAAAAAGGCAAAAAAAGTAAAAGAACAAAAACCCCATGCTCCATAGTGTCGAGGATAATTACTTTTTTTTTCAAAATAAAATATTTTGTCGTAGAGGCATTAGGCATACGTGGTAGGCGTGTCCTTTGAAAAATTCATGTCAATTGCAGATTCTTCTGCAAACTTGTAGGCGATACATTCATTTTCCCTAACGGGACAATATTTCCCAGAAATATTGCAAAGAAACGCAAAGAGATAGATGGACAGCCGAAGGGCAGACCATATTTAGGTACGCATTCAAGTGTTGTAACTGGCCAAGAATTTGTATACTTTACGGAAGTTTTGGAGCTTGTTGCTTGTTTTGTTATCAATGTATTGAAAATATAATTAAATTTTGATGCACTATACTAATGGCTAGATCTGGTCAATTTTTGTTGTACATTTATTGGCTATAGTTTATGAGTAATCAACATGAGCAAAAAAACAGTTTTTCTTTCACTTCCTTTGAAAAACCGAGATGTTCTCAGTTTATATGGTGCTGTGGGCGTGTCCTTCGACCGATTTGTCCCATTGTCAATACTAAGCTGCGTGCAAGAACTTTCAGGGTTTCTAGCAAATTTGAAGTTAATAACTTCAACAGACGCACAGACGGTCAGACGGACATGTTTATATCGATTTACAATTTTGTGTGATCTCTGATGCTACCTTCGGAGCGTTGCAAACATTTTGACAAAATGAATGTACCACTCACCTTTCGGTCACGAGTATAAATATGATTTGATAATGTCATTTAGGTTTTTGTAGCAAACGTCATTGAGTATCGTTAATCACCGTAAACTGAACGCTGAGGTCGCTTTAAGGTTTCCGAACATCGAGTAAACTCGATCGCAATTTAAATATGTTGCTCAACAACAAATTTCACGTGTACGCAGATCAGCGAATCATTAATAAAGAAAACGGGATATTTTCATTCGCATCACTTTGACACGATTGTGGCGAGGCATAGCCAAGTTAGACGTACATTTATTGAAGGAATATTGACATCCTCAAAACGACATTATATAATGTTATACTCTTTGAAACAAGCTCTGGTATTGTCCTGAAACTGAGACGGCTTACCTTGGCTTCAGTAAAGCTATTAATATATGCTCTGGAGTCTAATTCAATTTTCAGCATTCATTTGGCGAATATTATAACCTCCTTTTTAAAAAGTAAATCATAAAATATTTCGCCACATCTTTCTTAAAACATATTCCTACGGCCTCCTTCAACTTTGTTCCTTAATTTTCATGTTGATGTTCAATTGTCAACGTCTTTTTGCTTTCCTAAGCACATGAGCACATTCGAAAAGTTTCAAGACAACTCAACCATAGCTTACTACATAATGCTGGGCTTTTTTCTTGAAGCTTTTTGAAACAAATTTACAATAGCTTCCATAGCTTAACATATGGTAGCCATTATCGTCTTAAGTTGTTTTCTTTCTTTTTCGTAATATGACCAAACATTCAGGGAACGTTTCGCATTAGTGTAATTCCTCAATGTGAAGAAAGACACAGAGATAGAGAGACGCCGGCAGCCTAGTGTGTGTGCGTGCCCAATCGTTAATTGTTATGTATTGCGGTTGACACCTGGCGACAGCCAATCTCCGCGATTCACAAATGCATTCCTGCTCAATGCGAGCTAAATGGCTAATCGCTAATTGATCTTATTCGGTCCCCTAGTCGATCGCAATTGATTTAGTATGATTTTTTTTTGCTATCACTCAGTAAATATCACGTTAGCCTTCTACTATTCCTCCTCTTGTAAGCTCTTGAACGAAAGCACAAATCGCTGCTCGTGAAAACCGTTCGAATTACTGCATAACCCAAGGGGTTAACCTATATTTATTATTTGACAACACGTTAATCTACAAGGTGAATATATGACATTCATTACGCTCATGGATCCGCTTGTTGCTATTAAAGCAGTGGTAATTTCTACTATTTTCAAGAGATATCCTTCAACCAGCTTGATGTTAGAAATGTAAATTTGTAACGTCACTTACATGAAACTATACAGACATGAACTGTACAGACATGAAAAGAAAGTCGCTTAGTGCCCTAAGCGATCTGAAATTTTATGCCCCGATTTTATCATCCCGATCTGAAATTTTGTGCCCTTCAAGAAAATATTAACTTCAATTGGTCTTTAGTATCTGTTTATTGAAATGATGAGAAGTCTCTCACAAATCTTGTCCGCATGTGGAAATAAATCCCGACTTTCACTTATAAATTTCTATTTTGACATTTTGAACCTTGAAAGCCTTTGAAGTAGGGATAACGGACTTTGCTTATAGTATGTTTTAATAAAAAATATCCAAATTTCACGGACGCGTCTTAGCGTCTTACTACGAGAAGTAAACCTCGCCGACATCTATTTTCATAAATACCGCTTAGCCTTTGTTGTACAAAAGAGTGCTAATTGGCGCTTTTTGTGACTGTCATGCAGGGATTTAGATTGAAGAAGGCCCACTATTGAAACATGGCATCATTTTGCCAAAATGCTTGCAAGGTGTCAGTATGGAGTATATGCATTCCTGACCCAAATTCTGAACCGATCTAGGCTTGTTTGTCCGTCCATCTGTTTCTGTATCTGCCCGTCTTATAGAATATATATATACATCTTATCTCTTTATTCAGCATGAAATTTTGAATTCATCTAGGCATGTTTGTCAGTTCGTCCATCGACCCATCTATCTATCCCTCTTTTTGTTCGTCGTCTAATTTTCCCATGGTGATAGAAATGAATTTAACGCCTTCGACTTTAGCAAAGATATTGGAAAGATCTTGAATGCAGTGTAGTATTGAGAATTTTTCAAATCGATCAAACGACGTCAAAACACAAATTGGGAAGGCCTCTGTTTTCCAAAGCAAAACAAATGATTTTCTGCTCATGAGTCGTACACTGCAACAATGATGATTTGTCTAGGATATGGGCGACCCTACAACATTTGCAAAAACGACCACATCCATCCATTATTCTGGAGTATCAAAGTTCCATTTTCGTCGATTTTTTAAGATAAAGTTGGTGAGCTGGTGTTATGAAGCTCGCAATAAATAAGAGGCGCGTTTTTTCTTTTCCCATAATTTTTTTATTTGCTATTTTATCCCTCTTTAGCTAATCGTTTCTCTTCTTTTTTCGCATTACGCCTATTGTAATACGTAACGGGATCATTGAATTCCTGTATTTCAGCAGACCCCCAATTGAAAAAAATGGTCGCAGATGTATTTAGAACGACAAACGATATCCAAAAAACCCTACGCCATTGAGTGAGTTTGCCCTACAAATAAGAATGATCAAATTTAGTGCAAAACCAAGGGAAAGCTTAACGAAAAGTTACATCTGGAGTCATGGCACCCACTAAATATGGTCCTATTACGCCTGTCAAAGCTCCCAAGCCATTACCAAGAGCCATTTGAAACCCGGAGTAATTTGGGCTTAAATCCATTGGATTTAATTTCGTTCCAGAAAAAAATGGACCCATTAAAAACATGGATACAGTTAGCGCACTAATGACCAAAAGCTTGTCACAGCCGGCATATGAAGCCAATACAAATAATATTGATGGTCCAATAGCAGCTAAAAATTATGGTAAAAAAAACATGTTTAGTTAAGTCGCTAGATCGCTAAATAAAAACTTATCTATGATAGTCCAAAGCTTTCGTTGCAACTCTAGACCAATGATATTGTGACTCACTAAATAATCGGCTAAAATACCTACAGCAATTACGCAAACCCACATCGCCAAATAAGGCAGGGATGCCCAAAAACCATTTTCCTTTGTATTTATATTTAAGACATCATGAAAGTATTTGGGTAAATCGGTGACCAGAATATAATACCCAAAATCGTGACCTATTTGAGCGGCTATTGCAGCCCAAACAGGCCCATTGCAAAGTATACCCAGCTAAGGCGGCGAAGGTAAACTGTCGCGATCAATGCCACTGTTTAATTCTTGCATTAAAAAAGTCACGTTCCCTCGGCTTGATATAAGGATGAGTGGTGGGATCGCTGGAACATAAAAAACCCTGCGATAGGGTAAAGTAAAAGATTTCCTTTTATATAGTCCACCATCTTGTGACAATATACACACATACAAATAGAAAACACCATACGAGAGCTAAGCCGCCAAACATATAAAATACATATGACCAGGGATATTGTTCAAGTAGAATACCTGATCCGCTAAAGGATATAATGGTGCCCATTTGTCCGCTACCTAAAACTAGAGCACCGATTGCAGCTCGTTCTCTTTTCGGAATCCAATGTGCCAATAGCACAGTTAGAGCTGGAAATATCGTTCCTTGACCCAGACCCATAAATATTCGTAAAATACTCAAACCTTCATGGCCCGTATAGTATATAGAAAGAGGTGAGCAGATTGTCGAAACTGCCGAAATAAACACTCCAATTAATAGAATCCATTTTCCCTCGTATCGGTCAGCTACGATTCCAGCGGGAATGTGCGTTATGAGATAACCTATATAAAAGAAGCAGAGAACCCTTCCCTGCTCCTCTTCTGTCCAATCATAAGTGCCACCCGTCTATAAATAAAGAAATTTATGATTAATGCTTTGAAACATCGTAAGAACGATTACTGCTCTATAACGAACCACCACGTTCAAATCAAAATTTCAAGGGGGATCGCGGGATTATCTAAGTATACGTAATAAGTAATAGATTTTAGTGTTGAATCATTCGATCTCATAGGTATTAATTTTTCAGGTACACAGAGTGCATATTTTAGACAGAGTTGATTCGACATTATTATGGTCGCCAAAATAATAGGTCTCCCGGAAAACTATTTCCGTTCCGGTTACCATAAGTTTCAATAAGCTCTCACTTTTTGTAATGCAATTTATACGTACTGATCAAAAACGAAGATAAAGCGAGAGTCAATCCTGTATCCATGGCTACTGGTAAAGTTCATTTACACCACAGAACTTGGTATGAATTCCAAAAAGAAAGAAATGCTGTAGAAGGGTATCGAAATTAATCATCGAAATCATACAGGAGATCGTTTCAAATAAGTAGATTCGACTTTCGATGATACTGTCAAGATCATGTTGGAGCAAAATGCTTTCTATGCGGAAAACTTTCTTTTACTTTAAAAACATACAGAATTTTTCGCTAAACCTAATATAAGTAACGGTTGTTAAGAAATGTTCTTTTAATTCTTACTCATTACGATTGAGCTATGTTGCGATTGTGGACATATCTCGAAATCTTTGATAGA